TCCTGGTTCAGACTGGGATCCTGGTTCAGACTGGGATCCTGGTTCAGACTGGGAACCTGGTTTATTGTGCAGCTTAAACCAAGGAATGTTTCCCTCTCTAGAGTTAGAGGTTGAATGCAGCAGCAGCCAAGAAAGAAGGATTAGAAACAGTTTAAAAGGACTTAGTCAGGCTCCACTAAGCTAAACTTAACAATTTAATGTCTCATTCAACTCGCTTCATAAATCCTGGATAACTAAAAGAAACCAGCTGGAACTGGTCTGGAGTTAAATAAAGTTAAAGTGCTTCCTACTAGAAAAATAAAATTAACTTCCCTTCATGTTACACCTGTTTTTTCCCCCCCTGTGCAGCAGACATAACAGGATGTGATGTCATCTGCCTTCTCAGAGTTGGTCCACCAGTGAAGCAGGTCTGTTCCTTTCTGGCTGAGAGTAAAGGTTATCGATGGGAGGAGCCATAGCAGTGACATCACAGCATCCTTCTGAGCCGAGCCAGTCCGGAACCCAGCGGCAAACAGAGATGATGTCAGCGGTCAAATGAGCTCCCATTCATCTTCAACATCTTCGGGGCCTGAGGGTGGGGGGGCAGTGGGTAACTGAGGGAGGAGCTTAGTCAGCCGACGGCACAATCCCCCAGCGGGAGTCACCGCCCACAACTCCTCCTCTGGAGTCACTGCGAAGAGAGGCGGGAGACATCAGCCCGTTTTAGCACCGTCTGCACACCTCTCAGATTACATAACAACTTCCTACAGGTCAGTTTCATGTTATATAAGATACATCATAGGCTCATTAGCACACAGTGTATGCCCAGGGTGATTAGGTTTGGGGGGGTATTTTTTATTTTTTTTTTACACAGAGACCCATTGGTTTGAAAGGGTCACAGTGGCCTAGTATCCATTGATGATCACAGGATGAAGCAGTCTGTCACAGGTGGAAAATTTGCTCCCTGGCAGATTCAGCCATCAAAAACTACACTGTTCGACATTTTCAATCGTAGCACGCAGCTGCAGCTCACGCTGTACGGCGAAACCGCAAGGTGTAAAAGTCCACGATGTATGTTCTCACACTATGCGACCCGATGCTCTGATGCGATCTACCTGCTCACACTGTACGTCTAAAAACCAGGTAGGACTCAGCTCCGCAGTGAGATGGTGCTGCTCGGACTCATCTATCCAGAAGCCAATAAAGTAGAAGAGGAATATGAAGCTCACTAGAGTGAAACGCGCTGCATTAGCAATTTGTGCAAGTTTGTGCTAAAATCCCTAAAATGAAAAGGCAACAATGTATTTTAACAAAGATTTGGCTGAGCAAACGTGGCTACTAATGTCAATTTAACAGAAAGAACTCAGTTTCACTCATTGCATCGCCGCCAAGCTGCTGAATCCTTGTTTGCGCACTGAGGGATTTGTCCACAACCACCTTACGACGGCCGACTGAATTTCAAACATGTTTGATTTTCTCCCGACATCACGATTCCTGATGGGGAGGAGTTCGTTAGAGGCTGATCACCCCTCGTTACCCCCTGTACACTACACCACACACCATCAGGCTGACAGTCGGCCACAAAAGGGCAAAAAATCGTACAGTGTATGCCCGGGTTAAGGAGTTTAAAGGGGACCAGTCCACCTAGCAGTGATGTTTCTAGACTGTGGGGGATCAAGAGGACCTGGAAGCACCCAGGGATGCTCAGGAAGAACATGCAATCCCCACACAGAAGGGACCTAGGACTGTCTAGCTGTGGAAAAAAAATGACGATAAAAAAAGGAACAGACTAAATCTGTCAGGGAGCAAATACTTTCCCCAGCCCTGCACAACGATTTGATCCTTTCACATTAGGTCCGGACCCATGCCTGTTCTTTAGCCTGAGGAGCCAACGTTAATGCTGCACTCTGTATGTGGGGTGGCTGTCACAGAGAACAGATGCTTTTGTTTTCCTGAAATCTCTTATTTCTATAGCAGCTGTTCTGGTACCAAATTCTACTTCAGGCTATTCTACAGCTTTATTTGTGTCTCATAAAACAATGTTTGAATGGTAGAAAGTGTGTTACCAGTAAACCAGTTAGTGTTTCCAGGAATCTTCTTCCAGTAATCTCCAGCGGGGTTCCGGTTGGATATTCCATAACGCCGAGCCAGCTCTCCGTTTACACACCGAACCCAGACGGTCTGACAGCTGACGACCAGCTGACTGACAGCCAGACCTGCCAAACAGACACAAACATATCCTAGAGACAGAACAAACAGATAACCCACCCCGCAGAAAGCAGTCAGGGAGAGGAGTACCTGGTACCAGGTCCCAGTCGGTCCCAACAGGCATCTCCTCACTGAGCCCAGTTCTGACAAATACACTTCCCCTGTTGTCCAGAGCCCAAAGGAGACGATCATTCGGACTGGTCTGGATACTAACCAGCTGTACTCCTACTGGCTGCAAAAACATGACAGGTCACACAGATCTACATCTGATTCGGATGGATTAGCATGCTAACAGAGAAGAGCTCTCTGGGATGAAAATACAAACCAGGACCAGAAACAGAGCTGGAAATGTTAGGAGACTGGAGGAGAAGATTTACGATGCAGTCTAAGGATCCGACAGAAAATCACCATCTTTTCTATCAATCGATCCGAAAGAAGAAGCGCCGCTAAAATCCAGACACCTCTCCTACCGCCTGGAACAAAGCAGCTCTGCTCATGGACGCAGGGCTTACCTGTGAGGGAGGTTCGATATAGATCCAGGCGGGCATCATCATGCTGGCGTTCAGCGGCTGAGTTCCCACTCTGAAGTAGACCAGTCCTCGACTGTCCACAGCCCAAACGTTCTGGCTGCCACAGCTGATGCTAACCAGGCGAACACTTCCTGAAAGTCAAACAGCAGCAGAAAACACTACCTAAGCAAACCTTCACCAGCAGTTCAGCTGTAGTGGGAAGTTTTACCATCTTTTTCACTTATTTAATAAACTTCAAGTTTTGTTCAGAGGCGTAAAAATTCAGGCAATCACCAATGTACACTGAGGGGTTGGGTGAAAATGGATCAGCGCCAGAACCTCAGGGTCACTCTACACCAGGGGTCGGCAACCCAAACTGCTCAAAGAGCCATATTGGACCAAAAAAAAAAAAATAAAAATAAATCTGTCTAGAGCCGCAAAAATGTAAAAGTCTCATACATGCCTCTTATGGAAACATGGGCTCTAAGTGTTTTATCCCACTATAGAAAAGGACTTTGTGGGCTTAAATATATAATAAGCATTCATGATTAAATGTTTATCCTCGAGCAAATGTTACATAGCAGCATGAGGTGATGGACGAGCAGTGAACGCTCCCATCGCGCGCTGCGTCACAACGCGCCGCTTAACCGCCCTTCACCGCGCGGTTTAAGTTTTGTTGCATTGATGNCTGTACACTACACCACACACCATCAGGCTGACAGTCGGCCACAAAAGGGCAAAAAATCGTACAGTGTATGCCCGGGTTAAGGAGTTTAAAGGGGACCAGTCCACCTAGCAGTGATGTTTCTAGACTGTGGGGGATCAAGAGGACCTGGAAGCACCCAGGGATGCTCAGGAAGAACATGCAATCCCCACACAGAAGGGACCTAGGACTGTCTAGCTGTGGAAAAAAAATGACGATAAAAAAAGGAACAGACTAAATCTGTCAGGGAGCAAATACTTTCCCCAGCCCTGCACAACGATTTGATCCTTTCACATTAGGTCCGGACCCATGCCTGTTCTTTAGCCTGAGGAGCCAACGTTAATGCTGCACTCTGTATGTGGGGTGGCTGTCACAGAGAACAGATGCTTTTGTTTTCCTGAAATCTCTTATTTCTATAGCAGCTGTTCTGGTACCAAATTCTACTTCAGGCTATTCTACAGCTTTATTTGTGTCTCATAAAACAATGTTTGAATGGTAGAAAGTGTGTTACCAGTAAACCAGTTAGTGTTTCCAGGAATCTTCTTCCAGTAATCTCCAGCGGGGTTCCGGTTGGATATTCCATAACGCCGAGCCAGCTCTCCGTTTACACACCGAACCCAGACGGTCTGACAGCTGACGACCAGCTGACTGACAGCCAGACCTGCCAAACAGACACAAACATATCCTAGAGACAGAACAAACAGATAACCCACCCCGCAGAAAGCAGTCAGGGAGAGGAGTACCTGGTACCAGGTCCCAGTCGGTCCCAACAGGCATCTCCTCACTGAGCCCAGTTCTGACAAATACACTTCCCCTGTTGTCCAGAGCCCAAAGGAGACGATCATTCGGACTGGTCTGGATACTAACCAGCTGTACTCCTACTGGCTGCAAAAACATGACAGGTCACACAGATCTACATCTGATTCGGATGGATTAGCATGCTAACAGAGAAGAGCTCTCTGGGATGAAAATACAAACCAGGACCAGAAACAGAGCTGGAAATGTTAGGAGACTGGAGGAGAAGATTTACGATGCAGTCTAAGGATCCGACAGAAAATCACCATCTTTTCTATCAATCGATCCGAAAGAAGAAGCGCCGCTAAAATCCAGACACCTCTCCTACCGCCTGGAACAAAGCAGCTCTGCTCATGGACGCAGGGCTTACCTGTGAGGGAGGTTCGATATAGATCCAGGCGGGCATCATCATGCTGGCGTTCAGCGGCTGAGTTCCCACTCTGAAGTAGACCAGTCCTCGACTGTCCACAGCCCAAACGTTCTGGCTGCCACAGCTGATGCTAACCAGGCGAACACTTCCTGAAAGTCAAACAGCAGCAGAAAACACTACCTAAGCAAACCTTCACCAGCAGTTCAGCTGTAGTGGGAAGTTTTACCATCTTTTTCACTTATTTAATAAACTTCAAGTTTTGTTCAGAGGCGTAAAAATTCAGGCAATCACCAATGTACACTGAGGGGTTGGGTGAAAATGGATCAGCGCCAGAACCTCAGGGTCACTCTACACCAGGGGTCGGCAACCCAAACTGCTCAAAGAGCCATATTGGACCAAAAAAAAAAAAATAAAAATAAATCTGTCTAGAGCCGCAAAAATGTAAAAGTCTCATACATGCCTCTTATGGAAACATGGGCTCTAAGTGTTTTATCCCACTATAGAAAAGGACTTTGTGGGCTTAAATATATAATAAGCATTCATGATTAAATGTTTATCCTCGAGCAAATGTTACATAGCAGCATGAGGTGATGGACGAGCAGTGAACGCTCCCATCGCGCGCTGCGTCACAACCCGCCGCTTAACCGCCCTTCACCGCGCGGTTTAAGTTTTGTTGCGTTGATGAAATAATAGAAACAGGATAAAGGAATCTTTCTATGGTGGATGTGTTTCTGTTGGGAGGAGTTGATTGAGTCATGAGGAACTGAGCAGGAAGTGACATCCATCAGAGCAGAGCTCTCTAACCCTGAAATCCCACATCCTCCGATCGTTTTGGATCCATGGTCCGAGACACTCCAGCAGCTTTGTTTGCCTGGTACCGCGCAGCGCTGGTTGCAAGTTGTGACCACTGATCTCTATGGCTATGACGCAAATTATTGTTTAAATGTATTTATTATACAAATGTTTACAGCATTGAAAAACATAATTATTTTTTGTTTGACCTCCTGCACACCATATTAAAACAAACAAACAAACAAAAACAATTTTCATACATTTTTGAAAAAGCTCGAAAGCTTGAAAAAGAGCCGCGGGTTGCCGACCCCCGCTCTACAGGAAAATTAAGCACAAAGTCCATATTTTCTAAATAAAGACAAACTATACTTTCCTACAGCCTTTGCTAACAAATAAACACATATATATATAAAGCGGGTATGAGAGACGGGGAGAGACATGCGGAAAAAAGACCACAGGCCAGATTCGAACCCAGGTCACGTTGAGAACTAAGGCCTAAATATATGAGTCGTGTGCGCTAACCACTGCGCCACTTGCACGCCCACAAATAGACACATATATGTAAGAATCCTTCTAGGTAAAAGGTATAGTGGATAAAATTCTTTCAGTTTTGAGTTCAGAGGCGAACATCGTTTCCATTGTCATTACTTAACTTTTATCAATAATCATTCTGCATAAAATTGATATTTACAAGACCTAAAATCTACATAAATGATTTTTTATTAAAATAATTATTCATCTATGATTTCAATGAAGACTCCTAGATGACTTATAGAGACGCATCATTTTCTCTTTACCCCATATAACACAAAATCTAGTTCTGAAAAGAGCATCGATTCTGGATTTATCATCTTTAATGTTAGGATATTGATGATGCATAATTAACCAGTGTTTTAGTTGTCAAGTAATTGTTAATATATGAAAAATTAAAATGTTTTAAATATTCCACTTCAGAGTATTGCTGCTGCCACGGTCTGTATTAAGGGAAAAAATGGTGGGAGTGGCCAAAGGGCTGGCCAATGATTGGCTAAGGGTGGCCATGGCTACCGCTGGCCCACCCATCTAGCTCTGTCCCTGGTTCTGAGTGCTTTAAACACTAATGGTCTCTAATGTGAGCCATTTATCTGTGTTTCTCTTCCACCTTACATATTAAATATGTCCACATAGCCGCTACAAACAAGATCCATTACATCTCTGGTAATCTGTAATCTGCTAGACTAAAAGTTAAAACTAAAAACAGCTAATGCTAAGCCAGCAGCTGCCATTTATCTGATCAGATCGATTTAAAATTTTCTATCTACGGAAAACCAGCTGATTGCATCGACTCATTGACTCTTCAGCAATCCCTCACACTAAGCATGCTTGTAGCGACAGTGGAGAGGAAAAAC